TATACACTTTTGAATTTTACCTGTCACCAATACTAACTCCTTTATGCGAGTTACTTATTATACTATTTTGAAGTCCACCAGCATAACTTATAGCGAATTTACAGGAAAACTTAAAATCGAATTATGAACGTTAGTACTGGATTGATTAATGCTAATTCTACCAAGTCTCCTCCAAATTTCTTCAGTTGCTTTTGAAATTAGACCGAAAAAGGAACCTCGATTTTCATTTATAAAAAATATGCATATGTATTTGTATGTATAGATGAGATGTTCATCACTGACTAATATGTCAAACATATACCAATTTAGACTGTAAATAAGTTTTTCGATTATTTTTGTCTGAGAGCCTCTTGGAGCTTAAAAACTAAATTGCCCACACCTGCATAAACTCTTTCTTTTTTCATGAGAATCGTTAACGGTTGAGAAAGTATCTAGAAGGTTTACAACAAAAGATAATATTTCCTTCTCTAACGGTTGTTTCACACGGGTTTTTGTCATGACTGCGCCAAAGCCCAATATTTTTTCATCACACGACTGGGCTACCAAGTTACACCAAATTTTATGTTACTAATATGTGTTCTAAAAGTGAAACAAATCTGATCATAAATATGATTTTTTAGGATAGCTCTAATCCCTGCGCCACCTATCGGAAGACAAACACACTGATCCTTCTAAAAACTTTTGCACAAAACCGCAATCAATGCGATTTTAAAATCTGGGAGAAAATGGTTCCCAATTGAATGATTATTGCGATTTTATATGTGTATAAATGTAGGTGTATAAAATTCCATTACCTAATAGTAATAAAGGCGATTCTCTCGTAAGTGAGCCGAATCACGAGGGGGAGAATGTTGCCGATTAAATCATTTAGAATTCTTCTATGTTTAAGTCTAATTTTTAACTGCAATAAAATCCTAATATTTGTAACAGTCGTACGCTAAAATGCAATCGTGCCTCGAATATGTACACGCCATTGATTTGACCGAACCATTTTGAATTTGACCGTTTGGCTTTTCAAAGACGTACGAGCACACGGATAAGTAAGTCGCGTTATAATTTTTCGCTATTCATATTGCATTTCAATTAATATAATTTTCAGATATTAAAACACATCTACATTCCGTATAAACGCACTAAGAGTAAACTAATAAATAAATACTTGTATCTTTCTTTATATATCCGTGCATTTTTAATGACTTTAAGCATATTCGTCGCCGCCTCGTACGACCTACCTAAAGTTGCTATAGCGCCAGCAACAGGGACAATAATCCGAAGTACACTGCCGAAATAGTGTGACTTTGGAAATTTTACAGCATGTACTTAAGATACTTTCCCGCATCACCCAATCTTAATCCAATCGAGTTGTTCTGGGACGAACTTTCAATTAGGTTAAGGAAGTATATTAAATTAAATGAAATCAGCTGGCGAAAAATACAGCCAAAAGTTACATAAAAGTTAGTGCAATCCAGGCAAAATAGACTGAAAGTGGTAATAAAAAGAAAAGTGATGCAGTCTAGATACTTATTTAGGCTGTGTTTCTCCAGATGCATTTAAGGGAAAATTACTTTAATTTTAGAATTTTTGGTTTCACCAATCAATTTTAATTTGTTTTTTATTTGATTTAAGTGACCTATGCTCTTCACTTAAATAAAAATTAAATCAGAATAACCACACTCAGAGATGTTACACGTTTAATCAGCTGATCAACGTACACACCACAATTTTGTGTATCTGCTGCTTACTTGTATACCAGCCCTGCTTTTACAACACAGCGTGACAAAGCTTTCAAAAGCTCTCAGTACAATTTATATAGGGCAGGCACAAAATGAAAGCTTTCGCTGGTCGAGTCTGTTTTCCAACCACTTTTTACTCACTTAAATAAAGATCTTATTGAAAATGAAAATAATTTAAATGAGAATTAAGTAGGAAATTAAATTAAAGTTAAAATCCACTTAAATGAGTTTGGAGAAATGCAGCCTTATATTGTTTTCAATTACGTTTTAATTAAATGTAATAAAAAATGCCGAATACTTTTGTTCAGATGAAAACTGAGTTACCTTAATATATTGAATTATTTAAATTTAGTTTAAATAGTTGTAATAATTGAAATACATCGTTTTGTTCCTTGATATCTGGCCTTCCATTCCATTTTTCCAGAAATATATATTAATTGCTTTTTGTTCCTCTTTTAGACATATTTACTTAATTAGTATGATTTAATGCCGGTAACTTTTGTCGATGACCATGTATATCTACTAACTTACAAAATGTCATTTTTTTACAGCTGGTTAACTTGTCGGCCCGTCGAACAGTTACGCATAATTAAGATGTTATTAACATTTCAGGACAGATTACGTATTCCATGGCGTGGCGGATCTAAGCATGCCACATTGGGTAGCCTTATTCCCGTTGTTGCGATTCCATTACTTATTAGCTTAGCAGCAATCAATGCATATACCTGCATTATATTATTTTTAACAAGCTCTGTGATAATGTGTTATGCTTTCAATTACGTCCAGAGCAAAGCAATACGGACAAGTTTTTTCAGCATATGGGTGTTTTCATCATTGGTCTACTTGATAGTGTGGTTTGAATTCACTGTACCGCTTTTGGTACTACTCCCAGAAGAGAATTGGGCTTTAGTCGCACTCTCCATAATTTCATTGATATGCTTTTATCAGACTCGTAAGCGAGCTATATTAAATCACGTCATACAGTTTGCTGGAACAGCAAATGGAGTACTCATCGTTACAGAAACAAGCGTCGCAGAGGAAGATAAGACGATAAAAGCAGTTTTTCCTGCTAGAGCAGGACTTGGAAGAAATACAGCCAACTGATTGTGCGAACCGCGTTCAATCAAATGTTTGCTCAATCTGTAGTAAGTGTGTGCCGGCGCGAGCTGTACATTGCTCAGTTTGCAGTGCTTGTATTAAGAGACACGACCACCACAGCTATTGGTTAAATTGCTGCATAGGAGAATCAAATCATCGTTTCTACATTTTTGGATTGTTATTTAGCACATTCGCATTATTATTGGGCGCTAATTTGACACTAACTGCTGTTTGTCATCCTTTTATAGCAGCAAATATATTAGGACTGCACATATTGCTACCGGATGATTGCACCGAGGTTTTTGACATATACGAGTATGTCCAAAAAGTTACATGCTGATACAGTTTAAATAAAAATCTTGTTTATAATAGGTTCGGCTTAGCTTTTGTGATTGCTGCCTATACTTTAATGATTGCTGCATACATCATGCTAATACTTGTACGACAAATATATTGCATTTCGCGTGGAACATCATTACATGAAAGAAAAACAGAGGTGGGCGGGAATAATAAAACTTTGAAGTACAACTGGAGGAATTTTGTATTTTAGTAAGAAATATATCGTTACCTTAATATAGAAAGGCCCTAACTCACTTTCATTTTGAGTCCACATTTATACGAAATCTGTAAAATAGCTCACAATATATCTAATAGAAATTGAAAACAAATATTACAGCGTTAGATAAAATATTTTGTTTGATAAAAATCAGCACTTCGACGAAATTCGCAACCATAGAACTTTGCTTTTTACTAAATTTTCAAACTGTCTTTGAAAGAACGAAAATTTTAGATATGGCCTTTCTATATTATGGTAACGATATGTATGTCGTGAGTAAATATGTAAAACTAGCTGTACCCGGAGTGCGTTGTTGCACCTCAAAATAAAGGGCGTTCCATAATTTACGCAAGGTTGAAATTAGATATTTATTTATTGGACTTTAAAAATTAATTTTCAAAGTATAATATATGGCATCGAATAATCAGGTCCTGAGATGCCTGTTTAGCTTAGGTTTAGGTTTACATTTCCATATTTAAATATACTAGTATCGCCCAGTTGTCGAAATTCGACATCTTTTTTCATACACTTTTGAATCTTACCTGTCACCAATACTAACTCCTTTATGCGAGTTACTTATTATATCATTTTGAAGTCCACCAGCATAACTTATAGCGAATTTACAGGAAAACTTAAAATCGAATTATGAACGTTAGTACTGGATTGATTAATGCTAATTCTACCAAGTCTCCTCCAAATTTCTTCAGTTGCTTTTGAAATTAGACCGAAAAAGGAACCTCGATTTTCATTTATAAAAAATATGCATATGGATTTGTATGTATAGATGAGATGTTCATCACTGACTAATATGCCAAACATTTACCAATTTAGACTAGCTGTACCCGGAGTGCGTTGTTGCGCCTCAAAATAAAGGGCTTTCCATAATTTACGCAAGGTTTAAATTAGAAATTTATTAATTGGACTTTAAAAATTAATTTTCAAAGTATAATATATGGCATCGAATAATCAGGTCCTGAGATGCCTGGTTTAGGTTTACATTTCCATATTTAAATATACTAGTATCGCCCAGTTGTCGAAATTCGACATCTTTTTTCATACACTTTTGAATCTTACCTGTCACCAATACTAACTCCTTTATGCGAGTTACTTATTATATTATTTTGAAGTCCACCAGCATAACTTATAGCGAATTTACAGGAAAACTTAAAATCGAATTATGAACGTTAGTACTGGATTGATTAATGCTAATTCTACCAAGTCTCCTCCAAATTTCTTCAGTTGCTTTTGAAATTAGACCGAAAAAGGAACCTCGATTTTCATTTATAAAAAATATGCATATGTATTTGTATGTATAGATGAGATGTTCATCACTGACTAATATGTCAAACATATACCAATTTAGACTGTAAATAAGTTTTTCGATTATTTTTGTCTGAGAGCCTCTTGGAGCTTAAAAACTAAATTGCCCACACCTGCATAAACTCTTTCTTTTTTCATCAGAATCGTTAACGGTTGAGAAAGTATCTAGAAGGTTTACAACAAAAGATAATATTTCCTTCTCTAACGGTTGTTTCACACAGGTTTTTGTCATGACTGCGCCAAAGCCTAATATTTTTTCATCACACGACTGGGCTACCAATTTACACCAAATTTTATGTTACTAATATGTGTTCTAAAAGTGAAACAAATCTGATCATAAATATGATTTTTCTGGATAGCTCTAATCCCTGCGCCACCTATCGGAAGACAAACACACTGATCCTTCTAAAAACTTTTGCACAAAACCGCAATCAATGCGATTTTAAAATCTGGGAGAAAATGGTTCCCAATTGAATGATTATTGCGATTTTATATGTGTAAAAATGTAGGTGTATAAAATTCCATTACCTAATATACCTAATAGTAATAAAGGTGATTCTCTCGTAAGTGAACCGAATCACGAGGGGGAGAATGTTGCCGATTAAATCATTTAGAATTCTTCTATGTTTAAGTCTAATTTTTAACCGCAATAAAATCCTAATATTTGTAACAGTCGTACGCTAAAATGCAATCGTGTCTCGCATATGTACACGCCATTGATTTGACCGAACCATTTTGAATTTGACCGTTTGGCTTTTCAAAGACGTACGAGCACACGGATAAGTAAGTCGCGTTATAATTTTTCGCTATTCATATTGCATTTCAATTAATATAATTTTCAGATATTAAAACACATCTACATTCCGTATAAACGCACTAAGAGTAAACTAATAAACAAATACTTGTATCTTTCTTTATATATCCTTGCATTTTTTAATGACTTTAAGCATATTCGTCGCCGCCTCGTACGACCGACCTAAAGTTGCTATAGCGCCAGCAACAGGGACAATAATCCGAAGTACACTGCCGAAATAGTGTGACTTTGGAAATTTTACAGCATGTACTTAAGATACTTTCCCGCATCACCCAATCTTAATCCAATCGAGTTGTTCTGGGACGAACTTTCAATTAGGTTAAGGAAGTATATTAAATTAAATGAAATCAGCTGGCGAAAAATACAGCCAAAAGTTACATAAAAGTTAGTGCAATCCAGGCAAAATAGACTGAAAGTGGTAATAAAAAGAAAAGTGATGCAGTCTAGATACTTATTTAGGCTGTGTTTCACCAGATTCATTTAAGGGAAAATTACTTTAATTTTCGAATTTTTGGTTTCACCAATCAATTTTAATTTGTTTTTTATTTGATTTAAGTGACCTATGCTCTTCACTTAAATAAAAATTAAATCAGAATAACCACACTCAGAGATGTTACACGTTTAATCAGCTGATCAACGTACACACCACAATTTTGTGTATCTGCTGCTTACTTGTATACCAGCCCTGCTTTTACAACACAGCGTGACAAAGCTTTCAAAAGCTCTCCGTACAATTTATATAGGGCAGGCACAAAATGAAAGCTTTCGCTGGTCGAGTCTGTTTTCCAACCACTTTTTACTCACTTAAATAAAGATCTTATTGAAACTGAAAATAATTTAAATGAGAATTAAATAAGAAATTAAATTAAAGTTAATTTCCACTTAAATGAGTTTGGAGAAATGCAGCCTTATATTGTTTTCAATTACGTTTTAATTAAATGTAATAAAAAATGCCGAATACTTTTGTTCAGATGAAAACTGAGTTACCTTAATATATTGAATTATTTAAATTTAGTTTAAATAGTTGTAATAATTGAAATACATCGTTTTGTTCCTTGATATCTGGCCTTCCATTCCATTTTTCCAGAAATATATATTAATTGCTTTTTGTTCCTCTTTTAGACATATTTACTTAATTAGTATGATTTAATGCCGGTAACTTTTGTCGATGACTATGTATATCTACTAACTTACAAAATGTCATTTTTTTACAGCTGGTTAACTTGTCGGCCCGTCGAACAGTTACGCATAATTAAGATGTTATTAACATTTCAGGACAGATTACGTATTCCATGGCGTGGCGGATCTAAGCATGCCACATTGGGTAGCCTTATTCCCGTTGTTGCGATTCCATTACTTATTAGCTTAGCAGCAATCAATGCATATACCTGCATTATATTATTTTTAACAAGCTCTGTGATAATGTGTTATGCTTTCAATTACGTCCAGAGCAAAGCAATACGGACAAGTTTTTTCAGCATATGGGTGTTTTCATCATTGGTCTACTTGATAGTGTTGTTTGAATTCACTGTACCGCTTTTGGAACTACTCCCAGAAGAGAATTGGGCTTTAGTCGCACTCTCCATAATTTCATTGATTTGCTTTTATCAGACTCGTAAGCGAGCTATATTAAATCACGTCATACAGTTTGCTGGAACAGCAAATGGAGTACTCATCGTTACAGAAACAAGCGTCTCAGAGGAAGATAAGACGATAAAAGCAGCTCTACTGCTAGAACAGGACATGGAAGAAATACCATCTGATTGTGCGAACCGCGTTCAACCAAATGTTTGCTCAATCTGTAGTAAGTGTGTGCCGGCGCGAACTGTACATTGCTCAGTTTGCAGTGCTTGTATTAAGAGACACGACCACCACAGCTATTGGTTAAATTGCTGCATAGGAGAATCAAATCATCGTTTCATCATTTTTGGATTGTTATTTAGCACACTCGCATTATTATTGGGCGCTAATTTGACACTAACTGCTGTTTGTCATCCTTTTATAGCAGCAAATATATTACGACTGCACATATTGCTACCGGATGATTGCACCGAGGTTTTTGACATATACGAGTATGTCCAAAAAGTTACATGCTGATACAGTTTAAATAAAAATCTTGTTTATAATAGGTTCGGCTTAGCTTTTGTCATTGCTGCCTATGCTTTAATGATTGCTGCATACATCATGCTAATACTTGTGCGACAAATATATTTCATTTCGCGTGGAACATCATTACATGAAAGCAAAACAGAGGTGCGCGGGAATAATAAAACTTTGAAGTACAACTGGAGGAATTTTGTATTTTAGTAAGAAATATATAGTTACCTTAATATAGAAAGGCCCTAACTCACTTCCATTTTGAGTCCACATTTATACGAAATCTGTAAAATAGCTCACAATATATCTAATAGAAATTGAAAACAAATATTACAGCGTTAGATAAAATATTTTGTTTGATAAAAATCAGCACTTCGACGAAATTCGCAACCATAGAACTTTGCTTTTTACTAAATTTTCAAACTGTCTTTGAAAGAACGAAAATTTTAGATATGGCCTTTCTATATTATGGTAACGATATGTATGTCGTGAGTAAATATGTAAAACTAGCTGTACCCGGAGTGCGTTGTTGCGCCTCAAAATAAAGGGCGTTCCATAATTTACGCAAGGTTTAAATTAGATATTTATTTATTGGACTTACTTTAAAAATTAATTTTCAAAGTATAATATATGGCATCGAATAATCAGGTCCTGAGATGCCTGTTTAGCTTAGGTTTAGGTTTACATTTCCATATTTAAATATACTAGTATCGCCCAGTTGTCGAAATTCGACATCTTTTTTCATACACTTTTGAATTTTACCTGTCACCAATACTAACTCCTTTATGCGAATTACTTATTATATCATTTTGAAGTCCACCAGCATAACTTATAGCGAATTTACAGGAAAACTTAAAATCGAATTATGAACGTTAGTACTGGATTGATTAATGCTAATTCTACCAAGTCTCCTCCAAATTTCTTCAGTTGCTTTTGAAATTAGACCGAAAAAGGAACCTCGATTTTCATTTATAAAAAATATGCATATGTATTTGTATGTATAGATGAGATGTTCATCACTGACTAATATGTCAAACATATACCAATTTAGACTGTAAATAAGTTTTTCCATTATTTTTGTCTGAGAGCCTCTTGGAGCTTAAAAACTAAATTGCCCACACCTGCATAAACTCTTTCTTTTTTCATGAGAATCGTTAACGGTTGAGAAAGTATCTAGAAGGTTTACAACAAAAGATAATATTTCCTTCTCTTACGGTTGTTTCACACGGGTTTTTGTCATGACTGCGCCAAAGCCCAATATTTTTTCATCACACGACTGGGCTACCAAGTTACACCAAATTTTATGTTACTAATATGTGTTCTAAAAGTGAAACAAATCTGATCATAAATATGATTTTTTAGGATAGCTCTAATCCCTGCGCCACCTATCGGAAGACAAACACACTGATCCTTCTAAAAACTTTTGCACAAAACCGCAATCAATGCGATTTTAAAATCTGGGAGAAAATGGTTCCCAATTGAATGATTATTGCGATTTTATATGTGTAAAAATGTAGGTGTATAAAATTCCATTACCTAATATACCTAATAGTAATAAAGGTGATTCTCTCGTAAGTGAACCGAATCACGAGGGGGAGAATGTTGCCGATTAAATCATTTAGAATTCTTCTATGTTTAAGTCTAATTTTTAACTGCAATAAAATCCTAATATTTGTAACATTCGTACGCTAAAATGCAATCGTGCCTCGAATATGTACACGCCATTGATTTGACCGAACCATTTTGAATTTGACCGTTTGGCTTTTCAAAGACGTACGAGCACACGGATAAGTAAGTCGCGTTATAATTTTTCGCTATTCATATTGCATTTCAATTAATATAATTTTCAGATATTAAAACACATCTACATTCCGTATAAACGCACTAAGAGTAAACTAATAAACAAATACTTGTATCTTTCTTTATATATCCTTGCATTTTTTAATGACTTTAAGCATATTCGTCGCCGCCTCGTACGACCGACCTAAAGTTGCTATTGCGCCAGCAACAGAGACAATAATCCGAAGTACACTGCCGAAATAGTGTGACTTTGGAAATTTTACAGCGTTTCTCATGTACTTAAGATACTTTCCCGCATCACCCAATCTTAATCCAATCGAGTTGTTCTGGGACGAACTTTCAATTAGGATAAGGAAGTATATTAAATTAAATTAAATCAGCTGGCGAAAAATACAGCCAAAAGTTACATAAAAGTTAGTGCAATTCAGGCAAAATAGACTGAAAGTGGTAATAAAAAGAAAAGTGATGCAGTCTAGATACTTATTTAGGCTGTGTTTCACCAGATTCATTTAAGGGAAAATTACTTTAATTTTCGAATTTTTGGTTTCACCAATCAATTTTTATTTGTTTTTTATTTGATTTAAGTGACCTATGCTCTTCACTTAAATAAAAATTAAATCAGAATAACCACACTCAGAGATGTTACACGTTTAATCAGCTGATCAACGTACACACCACAATTTTGTGTATCTGCTGCTTACTTGTATACCAGCCCTGCTTTTACAACACAGCGTGACAAAGCTTTCAAAAGCTCTCAGTACAATTTATATAGGGCAGGCACAAAATGAAAGCTTTCGCTGGTCGAGTCTGTTTTCCAACCACTTTTTACTCACTTAAATAAAGATCTTATTGAAACTGAAAATAATTTAAATGAGAATTAAATAAGAAATTAAATTAAAGTTAATTTCCACTTAAATGAGTTTGGAGAAATGCAGCCTTATATTGTTTTCAATTACGTTTTAATTAAATGTAATAAAAAATGCCGAATACTTTTGTTCAGATGAAAACTGAGTTACCTTAATATATTGAATTATTTAAATTTAGTTTAAATAGTTGTAATAATTGAAATACATCGTTTTGTTCCTTGATATCTGGCCTTCCATTCCATTTTTCCAGAAATATATATTAATTGCTTTTTGTTCCTCTTTTAGACATATTTACTTAATTAGTATGATTTAATGCCGGTAACTTTTGTCGATGACTATGTATATCTACTAACTTACAAAATGTCATTTTTTTACAGCTGGTTAACTTGTCGGCCCGTCGAACAGTTACGCATAATTAAGATGTTATTAACATTTCAGGACAGATTACGTATTCCATGGCGTGGCGGATCTAAGCATGCCACATTGGGTAGCCTTATTCCCGTTGTTGCGATTCCATTACTTATTAGCTTAGCAGCAATCAATGCATATACCTGCATTATATTATTTTTAACAAGCTCTGTGATAATGTGTTATGCTTTCAATTACGTCCAGAGCAAAGCAATACGGACAAGTTTTTTCAGCATATGGGTGTTTTCATCATTGGTCTACTTGATAGTGTTGTTTGAATTCACTGTACCGCTTTTGGAACTACTCCCAGAAGAGAATTGGGCTTTAGTCGCACTCTCCATAATTTCATTGATTTGCTTTTATCAGACTCGTAAGCGAGCTATATTAAATCACGTCATACAGTTTGCTGTAACAGCAAATGGAGTACTCATCGTTACAGAAACAAGCGTCTCAGAGGAAGATAAGACGATAAAAGCAGCTCTACTGCTAGAACAGGACTTGGAAGAAATACAGCCAACTGATTGTGCGAACCGCGTTCAACCAAATGTTTGCTCAATCTGTAGTAAGTGTGTGCCGGCGCGAACTGTACATTGATCAGTTTGCAGTGCTTGTATTAAGATGCACGACCACCACAGCTATTGGTTAAATTGCTGCATAGGAGAATCAAATCATCGTTTCTACATTTTTGGATTGTTATTTAGCACACTCGCATTATTATTGGGCGCTAATTTGACACTAACTGCTGTTTGTCATCCTTTTATAGCAGCAAATATATTACGACTGCACATATTGCTACCGGATGATTGCACCGAGGTTTTTGACATATACGAGTATGTGCAAAAAGTTACATGCTGATACAGTTTAAATATGGGTGTGTTTAAGCCGCCGCTTAAACTTAATTCAGCGGCCGTGCGCGCATCCTGTGGCCGCAGCGGTGTGAAGTCCGAAAAATGATTAACGAGCGCGCACGGCCGCTTCCCATCATCGGGCCAAATGAGAGACCAGTCAGTTCAGCCAAAAACGTCGGACATCGCGCACGCGCCCTAGTAGTGGATGTTTAAATCTAAATATTTAATAAACACGCTCTGTACATACGCAGATAAACATTAATTTTTGTGCATAAATAAACACAAAAATATTTGTAATTATTATCCGGAACAAAAGTTTTTCCGTTATCGGTAAAAGTTTGTGTGTGTAAAGAGGTGAGTGCGAAGGGACCAATCGAGAAATATTCATGGTCCTTCGCAGCCGACCGTGGCCCAGCTCCTAGAAAAACTTATAGATAATAATACAAAATTTTCTAAAAATAAAATAAACGCGTATCGTGCGCCCGCTAAACAAAAAAAAAACTATTAACTAAGTGGAAAAACAATAAAAAAGTGCACGTATTTTGAAATATTTTCCTGCACCCCCTTTGACTACTAGCCAATTTGCTCCATTTGCAAATTATCTTATACNAAAAAAAACTGAGAAACTAAGTGCAAAAACAACAAACAAAAGTGTAAAAAGAGTGCACGTACATTTCGAAAACTCAAAAGTGAAAAATAAAATAAAATTTTGGAAAAAACAAATAAATAATTAAAATACTTATGTACATTTAAAAAACCAATCGAGTGAACAACATCATCATCAAACCAAACAAATTGGCCTACATACTTCAGCCAAGCAACCGCCACCAGCAGCCATCAACAACATCAGCAGCCATCAACAGCATAAGCGGCAACAACAACACAAGACACAAGAAGCCCCCAGGCAAAAAGGAGCAAAATCACATACACATAGACATAAATCAAGGATAGTAGTAAGTAGGCAAATTTTTAATTTCCTTAAAAATTTAAATAATATAACTTTCATATTCTTAAAAGTTATATTATTTCTAATAAACTGCCAACGGGCATACATACGTATA